GATCTTCCACAGGTCAGTGATGAACACAATGTAGAGCTGGAAGCTCAGCTGTCTCTACCTGAACTATATGTAAATGCTCTGTATTTGTGTAGCGCCTTTCTAGTCTCTTCGACCACTCAAAGCGCTTTTACACTACATTTGCATTCACCAGTCACACACATTCATACACTGGCGGAACAGCCGCCAGGGGCAATTCGGGGTTCAGTATGTTGCCCAAGGACACTTCGACACACAACCAGGGGGAGCCACGGTTGTGTGAACCGCCGACCTTCCGATTAACAGCCAACCCGCTCTACCTCCTGAGCCCTATATCATGCTGTCTTGCTATCATGACTCTGCAGAGTGGTTGAGCTCCAGGGATTGACGGCCTTCCTGTGGAGTTTTACAAGTCTTTCTGGTGTGTGCTGGGACAGGATCTGCTGGAGTTTCTTGGTGACAGTTTTGAGACGGGTCGTCTGCCTCTGAGCTGCAGGAAGGCAGTGATCACTCTGCTACCAAGAAGGGTGATTTGCAGGAGCTGTGTCACTACTTTGCTCAGACTACAAATTCCTGTCTAAAGTCCTGGCTTCCAGACTCAGGCAGGTGATGGGGTCTGTCATTCACGTTGTTATATTCTATAGCCATTGAACCAACATTGTTGTCTGTTTTCCTAAATGTAACGTTCTTTTTAAACTGTCTGCATATGCCGATGATATCATTGTCCTGGTGAATAAGCAGAGAGATATTGATGTGTTGGAGGAAACCTTAAATCTGGATGGTCTGATATCATCTGCTAATGTGAACTGGGTGAAGAGTGAGGCTGTGATGGTGGGAGAGAGGCTGAGGAGTCAGCTCAGTCTGCCTGGAGGCCTCTTCTGGAAAATGTCTTTTAAAGGTCGGGTTTTGGTTGCAAATAATTTGGTTTCTTCAGCTCTGTGGCCCCGTTTTGGCTTGTATTGACCCCCCCACCTTCTCTCCTGTCAATCATACAAAGAGTATTAAGAGTATTAGTGGATTTTTTTCTGGGACAAGTTACACTGGATTCCTCAGAGCACGATTTCTTTACAAAAGAGGAAGGAGGGCAGGGCCTGGTCCACTTGGCCAGCAGGGGGGCTACTCTCCGCTTGCAGTTTGTCCAGAGACTCCTCACTGGGCCTGCAGACCTGGTGTGGAGGCCACTGTCCTGCTGTATTCTGCAGCACTTTGGTGGACTGGGACTGAGCTCGTCTGTTTTTAATGAACTTAAAAGATGTGTGCTCGTCCTCTCTGCCTGGGTTTTACCAAAGTGTTTTTAAAGTATAGATGTTGATGAACAAACAGAGACAGGGACACACTGACTCCTTGTACTGGCTCCTTAAGGAGACTGTACTGTTTGGAGGACGTCTGGACTGTCTTGGGGGGTGTTTCACCCACTCTTTCTGAAAAGTTCCGCACTGCCAGGATCTCCACACTCGGGCAGGTGGAGGAGCTGACCGTCTGGCTGTTCGTCTGGGGCTGAGGACGAGCTGCTATGTCAGTCTGTTACTGAGCCACTGGAGACATCAGCTGAAGGGACATGAGGTCTCTCTCCTGATGGGCTATAGAGACGGCTCTCTGCTGCCAGACCACGCTGACTTGTGTCCTGCCACCACTCTGTCTCCTGACTTGACCGATGTTTGATGATGATGGGACCTTTACTGGTCAACTCTGCTGGTGTGTCTCTGAGTGATGCCACAGGAAGAACACTGTACAGACTGTTGGTAAAAACTCTCAACAAAAAGACACTGGATGTAGCGACACCCCCTGGAGGACTTATTTGGGTTTAAGCCCTGATTTTCGACCTGCCTGGAGGTCTCTGTATAAACCCCCCCCCCGACAAAGAGACATGCAGACCTACTGTGGAGGGTCATGGAATACTGACTGTAAATTATTTTGTGTCTGTGCTGAATGGGAATGTACAGGACCAGTGTCCTTTCTGTGCAGAGGTCCTTCTTCTGCAGAGGGAGACCGTGTTTCACTGTTTTTTAGAGTGCACTCGTCTCATGTCTCTGTTTGTTCTGCTGGAAAACATCTTTAGGGGTTTTAAAGAGTTTTTTACTAAACAGGTTTTTATTTGTGGTTTTAAATACACTCATCAGAAGAACAAATGTCAGCTGCTAAACTTTGTCTTGGGTCAGGCTGAGATGGCCGTGTATGTGAGCAGGAGAAAGAAGGTGGAGACAGATCAAACAGTCAATGTGAAGATGTTGTTTGTGAGAATGGTGAAGTCCAGGTTATTGTTAGATTTCAGTTTTTACAGAGCTAATCAGGACTTGGAAACTTTTCTGTCAGTGTGGGCTCATGGCAGGGTGCTGTGTTCTGTACAGGCCGATCAGCTGGTGTATGCCGATGTGTTGATGATATAAATGTATGGTGTATGGTTTTATAGAGTGAGTACTGACTAATAAAAGTGTGTTTTGAAAAATCAAAAATCTCTCTCTCTCTGTCTCTCTCTCTCTCTCCCCCTCACCCACAAATATTTGGATATTGTTTTGAATAACAAACTGTTTTTTGAATCCCATTTTGATGCTACATCAAAAGATTCAGCAAAGACTTTTTATCCTGAGAAAAATGAACTCTTAATGTTTCTACTGAGATGATGACCCTCTTTTACAGATGTTTCATTGAATACATACACTCTGGCATATTTTCACATGGTATGAATTTCAATTTCATTTTGCATATTAACTCCTGTATGTGATTTATTGTTGATGACATTGTTGATGTTGTCCTTTTGTATCTGTCTGTATCCCTTTGTTGCTTTATGTATGTCGAATGTTTGGCTCTTCATTTGTAAGGAACCTCTCATCTGGGAAAAATTTCTTTTTTCTGTCAATGTAATCATCAACTGTATTTACTGAAAAGACAGGTATCACTTTAAGGGCCAGTTTTGGTCTAGTACATAGTAAAGGGGAGCTGCCTTTTTACCATTTCATTTCCATGCTGCAGCACACAGGCTGTGCTTTGCATACAGTTAGAGCGCAGCTCCGGAAGGCAACAACACACAGTACAGTGAACAGTCTCCTGTAGGCATTTACAATTGCTATGTATGTCAGAGGTATCACGCCTCTGGAGCAACTAGGGGTTATTGTCTTGCTCAGGGACACATTGGTGGACATGTCACAGTGGGGAGTTGAACCCTGGTTTCTCACATCAAAGGCATGTGTCTTATCCACTGCCCCATCACCACCCCCCATTAACCCATATAATCAAAGTAGCATTAAATTACTCTGTAGACATTTACACTTACACAAATTAATATTATGAATACTACTTCACACTCAAAAATCAATTTCAATGTATGCATAGAATGTTTGTCTTCAGCATAAACCTATGGAATAAGAGTATTGTGAACTTTGTGTAAAATTCTAAAAGTTGTGATATAATTATGTGTGAAAATATCACTATTACCAATTTCAATATTGTAGCAACAATTTGTTTCCACTGTTACTATCCCATTGACAACCCCTGATAGACTGGATAAGTTAAGTGTGAACTGTTCTATTTTTAACATACTGTTTATGAAAGAGTTTGATAACTTCCTGTACTTTCTTCATCAGTGGGCCAATATCTACAGTACTGTGAATATATATGCTTAATGTAGCAGTAAGGAGGGGCTGAGGTGTGTTTATACCTCTGTATAGTACGGACATGATCCTCCTCATGTTCTTGGACTGACCTCTGTTGTGATTTGCATGATGGTGTTTAGTCTCAGACTGCATTTGTATTTGTCATGAGTCCAGTATAATAGGATGCACGCAGTCCATTTTCCTCTTAAGCACACACCGACTCTGCAGGCAATTAGACATGGTTGTGCAGTTTACTTTGGGAATTTGTTGTTGAGATCTGACTGTTTTTGGCATTTTAATCCATACATTTTATAAATCTCCTTTTTCTGTTCAGGGCTACAGGGGCTGCTGTTTATATCCCAGCATGCTCTGAGCAAGCGGCAGGGAGCAACAGGAAAGAATTTGCCATGTATTTGCAATTATGTAAAAAAAAAAAACAGTCAATGGACAGCATGAGCTTGACAGAGTGTGTGAATGGCCCTTGTATGCATTATTGGAAGCTCTGTAATCCCACCAAACAATTGCAACAGAAAGAGGCTAAAAAAGAGAAAGGGCTGATTTACCTAGCAGTTAAGGCTGTGGCTCCTCTGTGCTTGCTCCTGTTACTCAGACCATGCCCTTTGTCTGGGCCCAGGGCTTGGTCCGGGGCAAATATTTGCATGCCAAGGGCCACTTGAATGGGAAGCTCCTAAGCTTCTCACTACCTGACATGCAAAACCAGTGGGGGACCAGTTAAAATGGCGCGCGTGCACAGTCAACACAGGTGTACTCGAGTCAAAACACTGATCCTCCTACCCCCCTTCTCTCCAGCTCTAAATCTTTACCACTCTTCCCAGAGAGTGTCATGGAAATGAGCACTGTGATTTTGCTGGGATACTGTACCTGCAGGTTGTCGAGGGTTGAGGTTTGGGTGTAAGGGCTGGATATCTAGGTTTGTCTGTAACAGAGCAAACACTAAAAGCAGTGTGGCATTCCAGTGCAAGGATCAGAGGTTGAGTTGAACCATTTAAAAGACAGATCAAAAGAGAAGAAAAAGAGGAATAAGATTGAGATAGTTCAAAGGATGCCAAGGTCTTTTCTTGTGAAAAAGAAACGTGGGGCATGTGGAGCGTGGCAATGGAAAGAGCCAGAACAGCTTCAGTGGAAAGAAAACACAGTAGGTAAGCATTTCAAGTATCTTTAAATTTATTTTCAGTAGTCGAAAGTAAGCAAAGTAAACATATAAGTGGGTTTATCTGTGTTAAGCTGTATAATTTATATATAGTAATCAATTTAATCTTGTTCATTTACGCATAAAGTACACAGTTGTTTAAATTTTATGCCTTTTTAGTAAGTGAAAAGGCTAAGGAGCAGATATCCTGCAGTCCTGACACCCAACAGCCTGCCACTCTGCCTCAGCCAGTAGTCACCTTAGGATGTGGGCCACCAGCAGGAATGAGAGGGCCAGTGCCTTTGGCAGCATCAGGAGGACCAGGGGCTGACACCAGGCCAGATTGGTCCACACTGATGCTCCGGGGCTCCTTCTACCATCCCAGTACAATGGCACTGGTCAGCAGAGTGAAGGTAAGGTCAGGCCTGTCTTGTAAAGAATTGTGGCATTTACTGGCCTTCCAAAGTTATGCTCACCAAACTGTTAGCACTTTTTTTTTATTTTTTACTGTGTATTGATAACTGTCATAGCTAGCACCAGCTAGTGACTGCTGTGAAAAGGGCAGCTTTCAACTAGGGAAAGACAAAGTAACAGCCTGGAAAGAAAGCTGACTAGAGGAAATGGACTGGACACATGGACTGGCATTACTTGGGGCAGCGTAAGCAAAAAGAGCAAGGGTGGATTTAGAGCAAGGGTGGAAGATGACTCACAAGCAGGACCCCTGGTTATTGACCAACAAGCAGGGAGAGTGATTCAGTGGAAGCCACTGTATCATTCCAGTTTGTATCTGTATACTGTTTACATGCTGTATGCCCTGTGGCTTGAGTAATGGGACTTCCAGCAGCAGTCTTAGAATACACCAAGGGAAAAATGGTGCTTTGATAGTACCAGGGATCCGGTATTGATCAGTACTTTTTAAAAAGTCAATCAAATGTGAAGGTGAAGTCTAGCAAAAGGCTAATCAAAGTTCAAAGGACATCAGCATCCCTGCCCCTGAGCAGGAAACAAAAGGTAGCACCAAATAACAGGAGACTGGTGAGAGTAGGCAGCCAAGCAAGGGCATAGTTTTGTTTCAACATTGGAAATGACATATTAAGCGGGGGTCTGGGAGTCATTCCCCATAAAACTGAACGTTAAATACTGCATTTTCTACATTCTGGAGAATTGTTATGGTGGAAATGTTTTATTTATGTAAAGGTAAAAATTCAGGCGGCAGGTGACAATTCAAAATCTAAAAATCGAACACAATCTACATATGGAGGACGGATCGTGACATAATCGGAAATAAATAAATGCTCAATAAATTAAGAAACATCCTATTAAATGCACAAAAATACAGAAAAATAAATGTAGTCATTAATTTAATTTTACAATGAGACATAAATTTATCTCTTTTAATTAGCATTTTTATTTATTCATCTTTCTAAAGCGACTTACAATTATAAAGTTTGTCAGAGGTTGCACACCTCTGGAGCAACTAGGGGTTATTGTTTTGCTCAGGGACACATTGGTGGATATTACACAGTGGGGAATTGAACTCGAACCAAAGGTATGTGTCTTATCTATTACGCTATCACCACCCCACCATATTAATTACCTAATTTATTTATTGTCCAGTATAATGTTAAACTTCATTTATTAACTACTTATTTTTTAAATGTATTTATGCATGTGTTTTAATATATGTTTTTTAATATTATTTCTGTCTCCCCTTTCTGCATTTCTGCCTTATTATGCAAATGAGCGGCCTGTGTGCCTTGGGTCTCGCCTATTGGTTGACAGTCAGACAGCAGAGGTCGAGTCTAAATGCACACATCAACAAGCTTGTGCCTCACACAGTCACAGGAGATGGCTTCCGTCAGTGAACTGAGATGTTTAGCAACTGCATTTGAAGACAATACTACTTGCAATGTCTATCTTCTTTTTTGCGTGGACGCTCTGACCTACAGTATTTTCAGTTAGCAACATACACGGACACAGAACTGTAGGAAAGTGAGCCGTTGTTTGTCAGAACCACACGGTCAACTAGCCGCAGCTAAATGGAGTGCACTCGTATTGGAGCAGCTCGTGACACTCTAACACTAACAGCTGCTCTGTTTCAACAAAATGTCTATTCAGGCTGAAAATTCAACGTGGCGTTGTGTTGGGAGATGCAGTGGTGAGTAAGAAATCCCATGAATAATACATGTAGTTTTTTAAGCTACGAGGAAAGCTAAAGTTAACTTTAATGCACTTTAAAATTTTTGATATAAAGCACAGAAAGAAGAGGAGGCAGCATGCTGTGGTCATCTCACTTGGATCCTTATCAGGAGGACAAAAACAAGAACAAGAAGAGCAACAAATAAGTTAATCTTAAAACAGTAGAATAAACTCCTTATACAGAGGAAGAATGGGAGAACAGCACATATCCAATACTGTGTTATTATAGAGCATGGGATACAGCCTACACCCCTAATATTACTGTGTAACTACAGGATAACAAGTGGAGAACATTCAAGATTTTTTACAACTAGTTTATTCACCTTGTGTAATGTGTGTAAAGAATGAAAATAAATAGGCCTACTAGGCTCCTCTGTACCCTATTTAACATTTAAAGTAGTCATATTATGCTCATTTTCAGTTTAATTGTCAAAAAACACCATATTTTTGTCATACAGCACATTGCTGCAGCACCTCTTTTCACCCTATGTGTTGACCACTCTGTAGATAAAACAGAGTGATGCATCTAACTTCTAAAATATCTTTGTTGCACATGCGCAGTACCTAGTTAAGGAATACTAGCCAATCAGAAGCAGAGTAGAGCAGGTCTTGACAAGTCAGTAAAAACTGCTTCGGTTCAGCTGTACATGTTCCCGAACCAGATTCGCAACATAGACTGGAGCAAGAGTTTCAGAGTGGTAAGTTATTAATCTGTAACACATTGAACTTTCATTTTAACTGTGCACTGTCTCTGCATCACAGTAACAGCTTTATGTTCATTGACTGTCTAACGTTTGGTAGGGAGAGTGGGAGGGGAGGCAGCGGGTGTACGTCTTGTCACTGTGTGTGCGCTGCACATCATTTCCACTGGGGATGCTGGGGACATGTCCTCACCACATTTTGAGAATGGCTGATTTTGTCCCCATCACTTTTTGAAAGCATTTGTTAAAATTGTTCAAATACTTAACATTTCTTGGTGCAAGCTAACAAGTGAAAATGATTTGAGAAAGGTTTATTTGAACAATAAGAAAACATGCAATGCAATTCAAATATAGAAAATACAAATGTCCATTGTCCACAAAAAAGTAACTTAAAAGGTCAAAAAAGCTGCAGACTGCTGCATTAGAGACGGGTTTCTGTGCAACGTCATCACAGAGATATGCGTGCAACTAGGGGGCAGAAAGCAGCTCTCTGTCTTCGCAGCATATCAGTTTATGCTTCCTGTCCGTCAGAAAGTCTGTGATCCACCTGCAGGTGGAGTCAGGCATGTTCAGCTGGGAGAGCTTGTCCTGCAGCAGGGCCGGGATGATGGTGTTGAAGCAGAGCTGAAGTCCACAAACAGGATCCTGGTGTAGGTTCCTGGATCCAGGAGCTGGAGGTTGTAATGAAGGACCATGTTTACTACATCGTCTACAGACCTGTTGGCTCTGTAGACAAATTGCAGGGGGTCTAGGAGTGGATCTGTGATGGATTTAAGGTGGGACAACACAAGGAGCTCAAAAGACTTCATTAACACAGATGTCAGGGCAACGGGTCTATAGTCAGGGGAGGAAATGGTGGACTAGGAGTCATCCAGACTTGAGCCCAACCGATTTATCGTTTTGCAGATATTATCAGCCGATATAAAGACAATGCTGATATATCTGTATCGGCATTTATAACAGCCGATATATGACTATTAATATATGGGATTTTTAAGTCACAGTTATTTCACAGTTATTCACAGTAACACAGTTATTTCAATATTTGAGGATTTTAAAATCTGATATGGCGATATATCAGCCGATATTTCCCCCCCGTTATTTTAAGAAACTCTTAACATAAACCAAGATTATCCCTTGTATTTGTTATGTTGAGACCATACCAAGAAACCATGACATAATGCAGTATAAAAAAATACTTTTTTATTGTTATAAATAGTACTTTGAACAAAAGTACAACAAAATATGTTAAGGTTTTGATAGATAAGAGTCAAATGTTTAAAACTACAGAAAACATTTTACAAATAACTGATTTGTTATAAATTATGACATATGCCGGAGCATTTAGCTCAACACATATGGTTCAACATTGTTGTAAAACACATCCTGCAAGTTTTGTAACAACTGGACAACCATTTTCTGATCAATAGCTTTATTTGTATCATTCCACGTCCAGTTAAGATACATTTAAAGTACCCTCTAGTGGTTGACTTCTGGACTTCTTTGAGAAATTTCACGTTTATCGGACTTATGGTGTGAAGTAGGTGGCCTTTCAAAACCTGTAATTTTTGTGCCTTAATTACAGCGCCACCATTTGGCCAATTGGTGTAATATTTCTGTGGAAGCGTAAGCACCTCTGTTTGAGTTACTGTGCCAAGTTTCATGTTTCTAGCTCATTCCAGCTCACAGGAATTTGAGAAAAGCAGATTGCCAACACAAAAACAATCGCTAAAATAGCCGCAAGCGGCGATTCGCGGGTTCATACATTTTTTCGCAATATCGGCGTTAAAAGAATTTCAGACATATGGTTGAATATTGTTACAAAACACATTCTGCAAGTTTTGTAACTAGAATGGACTAGCATTTTCTGATCTGTAGCTTGATTTGTTTCATTCCACATCCAATTATTATGCATTCATAGCGCCTCCTAGTGGTCAATTTGAATGAGACTTTTAGGGTATGTGTGAGGTGCTTATGTAGACATATCCTGCAAGTTTTGTGTTGATTGGACAAACAATATGCATTTTGTAGCTTGTTTTGCGTTTTATTCCCTGCAGTTTGTTTGCATTTATAGCACCTTGGTTGTTTGATTTGAATGAAACTTGTTGCATGTTTCATTTACTTATGAGGACATATCCTGAGAGATTTGTGATGACTGGAGAATGAATATGGGATTTATAGTGTAATATGTGTAATGTTAAACACCTGTCTTGCGCTTGTAGCGCCCCCTAGTGACGTATGTACATCAAACTGTCCAGGTATATCCGAAGCACCTATCTGGCACAACATCACTGCGCTGTATTAACATTATGCTTTGTTAAATGTCACAAAATTATCAAAATAGATATATAATGTCAGTCCAGTGACTGTTACCTGACAACCGACCAGCCTCTCATTCTCTGGCGCTGGCAGTAACTCAGCCTGACGAAGCCCAGGCAGCTGCCGTGTGATGAGTGAACGTAAGAGTCCAAAACTATTCACCCATGAGTAAAAATGAACAAATTACTGTGACT